GGCAAGCATGGTAATAGGGACCTAAGTGAGAGATGCTGGTAGCCTGGCCAAGGCAGTGGCAAGGAACCAAAGGAAGTACACAGATGAAGGCATACTGCACTGAGGGTAAAAACAATGGGACTTGGTGGATGGACTGACTGGTGGGCCCTTTGCTGCAATAAAGGATCCAGTAGCAGATCTCTGGGGTCTGAGTTTGGAGTGCTGGGATTCTTCACGTGGAGGGGCACTATGGTAGGTGCCTGCAGGGATGCACCAGGCCCGAGAATGAGAGATCTAGGTGACCTTGGGTGTCATTTAATCTCTGTGAGCCAAATGTTCTCTGTCAAATGGGAAGAATGCCAACTCAGTTTGCAGGATGATTGCTAGAACCATCTGTGATGTCCAGCCCTTGGGTAGGGAGTGCCTTAGGGACACACACATCTCTGCATCCCCAGTTCAGAAGCCTCTATCTTCAGTGATAATGTTTATTGAGCGTCTCCAAGCCCTTTGCACAGATTAGCTCAATCTTTACCATGATCACTGAGGAGGAGACTGAGGCAACATGGAGTTTAAGAAGCTCACCCCGTGGGCCTCACTTTCATCCTTGTTGTGCTCCCAGTGAGCATGTGGCCTCAGAAAACCATACAAAGTGATACACTCACAAACTCTACAAATAAGCTGAGGTGGAATCCTAAAAAATGTTCAAATAACCTGTAAGGAAAGAGAAAGAAAAGAGAAAGCAAACAAGTAAACATAAAACTGCAGACTTAAGGACAAGTCTGCCTGAAGGCACCGCTCCTAGCACAACTGGAGTTGGACAGAAGCAGGTATTTGCAATGAACAGTCCGGACCACCTGACAGAGGCCCAAGGGGCAGAGAGTCAGCTCCTTGGGGAGGCCTCAAGCAGCTTGGCCTGGTCAGGAAGCACATTTGGAAAGGTCTAAACGAACGTACTGATGATGATGGATTGAGCACCTACTGTGGGTTAGATGAGATGGACTGAGCCACTCCTGTGAGCCAGACGCTGGGCAAGGAAGCAGGCCACAGGCAAGGTCCCACCTGCTCAAACTGGGTGTTGGCGCCTATGTGGGATCAGAGGGCCAGCTCAGCTGTGAAACTTCTCTCAGACACACAGTGGCCTAGTCTGTAAAATGCAGCAGTGGTTCCTCCCTCTTGGCTGAAGGGCCACAGTGGCATCCATAGGTCTTGGGCATGGCCCACCCCTTGTCTACCCTAATGCCCAGTCAATTGAGCTCAGGGCACAGTCCCTGTCTTTTGTTCCTGGTTAACCCTGGAGCTGCCAGCCTGTTTCTCCTCCACCCTCTAGCCTTTTCCCACTCGAGCTGCGGGCCTTGGTGGAAAGGAACAAGAAGGCACACTTTGGCTATACGCTGCCAGTCTTCCCAGTGTCCCCGTGGCCGCCAAGTCCTTATGTTCCAGTGCTCACGTGCACTGGGCTTTTTGTGTATAGCTCAGTCGTCATGTAGGGTAAGGTGTTTTGACACAGACTTTGGATTCAGACAAGCTAAATCCTAGCTCCTCCACTTATTAGCTGTATGACCTGAGGCAAGTTCAGTTTCCTCTCTGAACTTCCTTTCCATCTCATCTATCAAATGGACCCCCAGTGAGAAGGCAGTGAGTGGAAAGGGCCTAGAACAAGGCCTGACACGCAGTAGAGTCCTTGGCAGGTGTTTCTATTTCTAAATCAGCTAAACTCCATCACCTCCAGCCCCAGAAGTGCCTTTTCTGACCCAGAGTTGTTCCTGCTCTTCAAGCCAATGGGCCCCCTAGTTAGTGCCAGTTTCCTGAAAATTCCTGTGGGCTCAGGAAAAGGAGAACAACAGATTTAATTAACTCCCAGTGACTGGCAGCATCGTGTTTTTATCTGGGCTGCGTCGCCATGGCAGCCTCATGGCAGGGTTGTCAGGGGGCGGGTGGAGCTATTGTTCCTGCCATTGTCTGTTCTGGAACGCAGGCCCAAAAGAAAGGGATTGGCACGGGCACCAAGTGGCACATGGCACAAGGCAGCCGTGGAGTCAGACAGGAGCCATCTGGAATAGCCTGTGGCCTGGCTTCCCCCCAGCTTGCTGCCAGACCAGCTTAGGGCTCAGGCCCATTGTAGGCCCCACAGCTGAATGTGTGTGTGCCTTGGACATGCTGAGGATAGGAGCATCCATGGGACTCCTGGAAGAGGCCCACAAAGTAGCTCAAGAAGCAGCAATCTTCTACCCCAGGCTAAGATGTGGCTAGGCTTGGATTCAAACTACAGAACTGCCACCTGCCATCTACACAGCCAATTGCTTACCCCCTTTCTTATCTGTAAAATAGGAATGATTCCAGTTACTCAAAAGGGTTGTATGTGAAAGCCCCTGGGTATGAGGCATTCAAGAAGGGCTCATTTCTGTTCTTCGGGGGTGGTGAACAGTCGCTTGCCGCCTGTCACTCCGCAGTCAGGGCTCCCTCCTACACACCTCTTAGGATGCAAGGTTCCCCTCTCAACCCTGGCTATGGAGAGGAGGTGGAACATGAGATGCCCATCTGGAGTGACGCGGGACCAGGAGGTACCAAAGACAGCTACTATTCCTCCCCTCTGTAAAAGGGGAATGGACTGAAGGGTAGCGACTCGGCGTCCTGGAGCTGAAAGGTCAAGACTGAGCGGAGCTGCGCTGGGGTAGGAGGCGATGGGACTGGGATCTGGCGGGCGGAGGTGCCTAGAGCAAAGGGAGGGAATGGCCCACGCGGCCAGGCGTTCGGCACAGGTAGGCAGGTAGCATGCCGTAGCAGCCAGAACCACCCTCCTGAGCACCCATGTAAGAGCGGCGACGACTGGGAGGCCGCACTGTGGGCTGGGATGTTCCATGTTTGGGGCTGCCGGGCACTCGCACAGGGCTGAAGCACTGGGAGGAAGGCCACCCTTTCCCCGCCGTCAAGGAACCATGCCGAGACTCCTCTTCAGCGGCCTGGGTCTGCCCGCGAGCCTCGGAAACCCTCTCCAAACTGAGGTACCCTGTGTTGCGGGTATGCGGATAACGAATCTCCCTTGCTCGGAGGCCGAGTCTGGCCTTTGCGCGCCCTCTGCTGGCGGGCCTGGAGTCCCCTCGGCTCAGCGGCAGCGTCCGGATCCTAGATCCGGGAAAACCCTACCGGGGAAACCTCAGGTCGTGACGTCATCCTCGGTGACGTCATCACGCCCCCGGGGAGTGCGGGGGTTCCGGCAGAGGAGGTTTCCCCCGGACTGCGCAGGGCACGGGCGCGAGCTGGGAAGTCGTCGGGGGCTGCAGCGCGCCTTCACCGCGCCCTGTGTCTGTCCCACAGGTCCTGCGCGGCCCCGGGTAAGGCCCGCCCGCACGCCCGCCGGCGCCATGGGAAGGAGCGGGCGTCGCTGCTGCTGCTGCCCCCCACCGGCGCGCGCACGACTTGAGCCCTGCCGCGGGCAGCCCCCGGCCGCGGGTCCACAAGTGACGCTGGCGGCTCCTGGGAGCGTAGCGCGGGTCCGGGGCCACGTAGAGGAGCCCAGTGTCCAGTGAAGCAGCCGAGGACCCGCCGCGCGCGCCGCCGCCATGGTTATGTCCCAGGGCACCTACACGTTCCTCACGTGCTTTGCTGGTTTTTGGCTCATCTGGGGGCTTATTGTCCTACTCTGCTGCTTCTGCAGCTTCCTGCGCCGCCGCCTCAAACGGCGCCAGGAGGAGCGACTGCGTGAGCAGAACCTGCGCGCCCTTGAGCTGGAGCCCCTCGAGCTCGAGGGCAGCCTGGCTGGGAGCCCCCCGGGCCTGGCGCCGCCGCCGCCACCGCACCGCGGCCGCCTCGAAGCGTCGGCGCACGCGCACCAGCACGTGCACGTGCACCCGCTCCTGCACCACGGGCCCGCGCAGCCGCACGCACACGCGCACGCACACCACCACGCGCTGCCTCACCCGCCGCCGCCGCACCTCTCGGTGCCGCCACGTCCATGGAGCTACCCACGCCAAGGTAAGTACCGACATCCGCCGAGGGCGACCAGGATCACCGGGGTGGGCGGGGCCTCGTCCGCGGGCGGGGTCATGGCTTACCCTCCGGCTTACACAGGACCCCTCCCCCCCAAAGGGAATAGGCTGGGCCTGGGGTTGGCGGCTGGCCAAGACTTCTGTGGGAGGCTGGGATAGGTGGCCTTACGCCCTCGGACCACTTCCCACTCTGCAGCAGAATCGGACATGTCCAAGCCACCGTGCTACGAAGAGGCAGTGCTGATGGCCGAGCCGCCACCGCCCTACAGCGAGGTGCTCACGGACACGCGCGGCCTCTATCGCAAGATCGTTACGCCCTTTCTGAGCCGCCGCGACAGCGCGGAGAAACAGGAGCAGCCGCCGCCCAGCTACAAGCCTCTCTTCCTGGACCGAGGCTACACATCGGCGCTGCACCTGCCCAGCGCGCCGCGGCCTGCGCCGCCCTGCCCTGCCCTCTGCTTGCAGGCGGACCGCGGGCGCCGGGTCTTCCCCAGCTGGACCGACTCGGAGCTTAGCAGTCGTGAGCCGCTGGAGCACGGAGCTTGGCGCCTGCCGGTCTCCATCCCCTTGTTCGGGAGGACTACAGCCGTATAGAGGGACGCCCGGCGTCCCAGACCCCACCCGCAGACTCCTGGCCTGACTGCGGGGCTTTTTAAATGCTTCCCTTGGACTGCAGGGGAGCGGGAGGGAGGGATTTCTTACCCCGTTTGTTACATTTTGAGGATAATAAAGGTGTGTGATCTGGTTTGGTACAAACCGAGAGGACACCCACTGCTTGCGCCCAAGTGTGCCTGAGCCTCGGCAGGACGAAACATGAATGCACTTTGCCGCTGCAAAGTGGCAAAAAGTGCAGAGCTAAACCTGTCGGCCTGCTTCACAGGCTGGTTTCCTCGAGAGCCTCAGACCCCACCTTCCCTGCCCATGAGATCAGGTGAGGGCACCCCCTGCGGCTTTGGAAGTGGAAAGAGTTAGGAATGGGGGTTAGGGCAGGCGGCCCACCCCAGATCCACCCCTGGAGGCCCGGAGCAGCAGGCCCAAAGGGATCTGGATTTCTTTATTAACAGACATGAGCACGACCCGTTACAGAAGTTTGTGCTTTCCAAAAAACAGTTACTGAATGTGAAAAAGGAACCCAAGCAAAGGAGTTGGGAAGGGGCCACCCTAGCCCCCGGCCCCACCCATAGCCCTGACCTGAATCGCGACTAAGGCCTCCAACCTGGGACCCGCCCAGCAGGAGGGAGTAGGAGAGGGCTGGGAAACTGAGGGGCCCCAGCTGGGCCTGCTACTTCCTTTAGGCCAGGTGGGAAGGGGTCAAGAGAAGGGTGGGGAGGGGGTCCCAGGGAGCCAGAGCCCACGAGCCATTTATTGCCATGTTTTCAAATTCGTGCAAAATATCTGAAGCCCTGGACAGAGAATACAAAGTGATATTTTTCCAAGAAACAAAACTAGGAAAAGATGGGGGGACATTTTCCCATCAGACTCCCACCCACGCCAGGCCCCAAGCAGGGTGAGGCCTCCACCCTGGCCAGCTGAGTGAGCAGGGAGGACTAAGCGCTACAATCTGGACCGGGCGGGGAGGGGATGGAATTTGCAACAGCGTCTCAACTACCAACGGGAGGAAAACCAGTCAACTGTACAAGTCTCCTATCAACTTTTTTAAAAAAGGGAGAGAAAAGCTGTAAAAGTCAGGCCCTGTGGGTAGGTAAGCGGCCAAGTCCCCGGCCAGGGCCGGAATCCGGAGTGAGTGCCAGGCAGAGCTGCTTCGAGTGCAGGTGCAGCCGGCCATCTGGCCAGAGGCGGCGCACGTGGATAGCCTTGGCAAGAGCAGCCTGAGGGCGGCGCCACCGCTAATCTCCACCCTCGAAGCCCTCCTCCTCTTCTGGGACTGGGTCCGCATCCCAACAGGTGATGTCGATTTCTATGGTGTTGGGAAGAGAGGAGAGTTAGAAGATAGCCAGCAGATCCATGGCTGTCTCCCAACCCCTGGGAGCTGTGTCAGCTACGGGGTTAGGGATCACCTGCCCACACTTGAACCAGAACCCCTAATTCCGCACCATCAGCCACCGCAGTTACTACCTGGAGGCTTGTTGTAGAACACAGGAAGCGGAGCCTTTGCACACAGCTCTTCTGATTGGGCGAACTCCTCCTCCTGTGATTGGCTGAAGTACCCCTCGCTGGCCTGCAGGAGGAAAGCACCAGGTCACTGGGCCCCACCCCACAAGAGTAGGGCTGACCTACCAGGCCTGAGCCCGTTTCCCTGGCAACCAGTGATTCCATCCGTGGTTGCCAGGGAAACAGATGGCTGCCTTGGGAACAAAAGCAGAGCTGGCCTGGGGAATGAAACGAAGCTTTCCCCAATAATGTGGGTCACAGAGAAAGAGGGGTACTGCTGCAAGCCTGAGAAACGGCTTAGTCAGCTCCCTGCTCAAGCCCTGACTCCCACCCCTCCCACCAGGCTACCCTGCTCCACCTGGGTCCCCTCCTTCTGGGTGGTCTCGCCATTGGTCAGCTGGTGTGGCTCAGGCTCTGGCTCCAGCTCCGGTTCCTGATCCAGCTCTTCTAGAGCAGAGGGCAGAGTTGGGGCCTGGGGGCCAGCCAGGGGCTCCCCTTCTACTGCCTCCTCTGGGTCACAGAAGGTAGCTGGCGGCTCAGGCAGCTCATCAAAATTAAGGAGATTGGCACAGCCTTCACCTGCTGGCGGCAGTGGCTCCTGAGCCACCTCATCCAGCAGGGACACCTCCGCCAGAGTGACCTCAGCACCCGAGGGTGGTGTTGGGGCCCTAGGCTCAGCCTGGGGTCCAGAGGCCCCTTCCCCATTGCCAGGCCATAGGTCAATGAGGCTGGCAGAGGTGACGGTGTTGGCAATAGCGGTGTCAGCA